AACTGAAGATGAATTAAATGAACGACGTGCTAAATGGGAATTACCCGCTAAAGCAAAGATACCTAAAAAAGGATATTTACGAAAATATGTCCAATGTGTACAATCAGCATCAAATGGATGCATAACAGATGGATAAATAATTTATTATAATGATAAAATAAATTAGAATTTCGATTGTAGAAAATAGTTTCTTTTTAATAAACAATAATCTTCTTATTTTGCATCGAGTATGAATCAATAATATAAATTTATCGTCGAAATTGTCATTTTTTTTCAAAATAAATTATTCAATAAAATAAAAAAAAATGTAATTATATGTAGAACTAAAGTCGTGTACCTCATCAGTGTGGTTTTCAAACGTATATTTTACATGTAAAAAGTAAATTATTCAGTTTTTTTCATAAACAGTAACAAAAATATAAAATGATATGATCTCAAATTTCACAAAAACCATTTTTCTTTCTCCTCGCTCAATTCTGGCATTGATTTACATCTTGGTCACTGTCATCAAATTCATGTGGATCTCGATCAAATTCTATCGAATAAATTCCATATCTGTGTCAATCAACATCTTCCGTTACTCGATCGCAATCAAATTGTATTATTTCGTTCGTTCAACAGTCATCGAACCCATGTAAACATATGGAACGGCAATGTGGGTGACCTTTTCATATCGATCTGCTCGTGTACACTGTCGGATACTGGCTTGATCGATGTCATACGTCTGTTTAGAAGATTATATGCTTCTTCTCAGTGTGACCACCTTGTCTAATCATCTACGAACATAGAACTTTATAAAAACGTTTGAATGAAAATTGTACGACTCTCCGATCTTTCGATCGTCGCGTCATAAAATGACGATTTTCAAGACGAGTCAAGAAAAAAAATCACGAACGACTGCTATACAGTGCTTCACATCGTAATAATTAAAAATAATTTAATAGAAAGTAAATTACAAATTGATTATTTTCGAATAAAAGTATATAATGATTATTATCAACATAATTTGTTCGAAGATTATGATAAAAGATTCCATTGAATTTTAATTCCATTCACAAACATATATATAATGTATATGAATATGAACAAGAGATAAAAGACTATAAAATATTCAAAGAAGACATTTTTAAAATGATATTTGAGCTCTTTCTCTTTCCATTATATGATCATGCTAATGGTACTATATAAAATTTTAAAAAAACCTGGAACATGACCAACAAAAAAACCTTAATGATGAATAACAGAATCTGGATTATGAATAAAACTTGCATGAGGAGTAACAAAAAACTTAGATGAATAACAACAAATCATGGATAATAAATAAACGATCTGATCATATTATCCAAGAATTTAAGTTAACGAACAAGAAAAATCGTATTATAGTCAATAATAAAAAAATGATTTTATGTTCTTTTATTTCTTTTGTGCAGCTTTAAGTTTCTGAAGTTCATCAACATATTTATCGAAGTCGATGTTTCCTTTATGTAATGCCAAATATAATTGATCAACTGCAAATATTAATTGATTATGTTTGTTCTACAAAAAGTAGAGATATATATATTATTAATAGAAAAAATATCAAAATATATGTATGTACTTCTTCTTTCTCAGACATTTCTTTTTTTTAGCTAAACAATGTTGACATTAGCAACAATAAAAATGATGAAGAAAAAACAAGCCATATATACTCATATGAGATAGAAAAATAAAAACAAAACATCAATTAATATATGAGTGTCGCTGACCTGCCAAAAGGTAATAGTCATTGTTTACATTGACGATTCTTCCATATAGAAAATGTGATTTTTTTAAATATTTTTTTGTATATCAAATTTCTCAAAATTTCTTAAGTTTCACATTACAAAGTTCACAAAATCCTTACTATTTAGTACCAATAAACACCATTTTTGATGAGCTTTCATTTGGTATAAAACTCATTATAGACTCCTCTCTGGAATAATATTATTTCCTATCCCGTATCTTGGGGTATCAACACGACTGACCACGCCCAAATATTAGTTTGAAAAAGTAAAAATATTTTAAAACATCGAGATCTAATTAATTGTCAGATATGGTCGGAGTACCCACCTAATAATTGAAACGTTATTTTCCATTTAATGTCTTTGAGAAGTACAATTGATCTTAACTTCAGAAAAATTTCGGAAATTTTCATTTTTATGGTAATTTGATGCTTAGCATTCGAGATGCTAACCCTGAATGCATTTTATTAGCTAACTTATCCCATTTATGAATATACATCAAAGTACTCACTACGGATATACTTTGAATATTTCAAACCGTGGATATACAGTATTCAACTATTATTTTGAAATATCTGATAAGACTTTAATTGTTTTGTCTTTGATTAAAATTTTCTTCCAAGACACTAAACTGAAAATCTTGATTGTCTGTTAAGTAACACCATCTATCATTTCTTTTGATTGGTTTTGTTTTTTCTTAGATTTGTCTATCAAATAATAAATAACCATTTTTATTTCATTTTGTTCTGTTTCGTCTTGTTTACTAGTGCTAATCATACAAAAATTCTACATATTGTAGATGCTTATTCGCAAGTTATTTAATCGGCAATCATTTGCCATTTCATCTTCTATTCTTGGCCGTTGCATTTCGACAAGTTCTTATCGTTTAGCTTCGGATAAAGAATTTGTTCATCGTGATACACCACAAAATAATCCTGATATTAAATTTGATTTTACACCTGAAAATTATAAACGAGTTGAATCTATTCTTGCTATGTATCCTGAAGGACATAAAGCAGCAGCTGTTATTCCTTTACTTGATCTTGCACAACGGCAACATGATGGTTGGCTACCAATTGCAGCAATGAATAAAGTAGCTGAAGTTATTAAAATGCCTCGCATGCGTGTATATGAGGTATATTTCTTTTTCTTTTTTAGAAAATAAGGATATGTTTTACTGTTGTGCTTCTTTTTCATTTTGATTTAGGTTGCAACATTTTATACAATGTTTAATCGAAATCCAATTGGAAAATATCATATACAAGTATGCACAACAACTCCATGTTGGTTATGCAATTCGGATGGAATTTTAAAAGCAATTGAACATAAATTAGGTATTCATGTTGGTCAAACAACATCTGATGGTTTATTTACATTATCTGAAGCTGAATGTCTTGGTGCTTGTGTTAATGCACCAATGTTATCGATTAATGATGATTATTATGAAGATTTAACAGAAAAAGATATAAATGATATTTTAGATGAAGTTAAGAAAGGTGGAAAACCAAAAGCTGGTCCAAGATCCAAACGTTATGCAGCTGAACCATTGGATCAACTGACATCGTTGACTGAACCACCCAAAGGACCAGGATTTAAATTACGTAAAGAACTTCAATAAACTCTACCCCTCTTTTTTTTAAAAGTGTGCGTGTATAAATACAGCGGATTAGATTATTAAAGTTCACCCACTTTAAATCAAGTATTTGTCTTGATTTTGAAAAACAATGTAAAATTATATTTTTATGTTAAAAACCACCGATGACAATGAAGAACCAGCACAAAAACAACTAAATTTTGAAGGTTAAACAGTTAGATTAAAGTTCAACAAATTATGTTTTTTTTTTATTCTTTGAAAAACATCATCTTAAAAGAAATATACAAAATAACATTAGAGATTTCAATGAAGAAAGTTTTCTAAGAAAAACTAAGTCGATAAAAAAAATTGTAAAGCTTTTCTTGCAACCAAAGGGTAGTATATATATCTTGAAATATAGATATATGACAAGCATGTTTATAAGGATTTTGTTGGATTGATTCAATATAATCTATCTGGTCAATAATCCATAGAAAATATCCTTCCTTGATAAGTTGTTTTGATGTTTGCATTGATGAAACTTTGCAATTACCAGTACATCAGACTATCGACTCAGAAGAAGATTCAAGAGAGTGTCCATCAAAGAATCAAACATCGTCATACTCTTTAGAATTCTGATCTATATTTTTTATGATTGCTATCGAAAGCTCATGAAAGTTTCAGCTCTTTCCATAAATACCTTCAGAAGTTATGAAGACAATATTGATGAAAGCCAAATCAGCACTCAAAAACAGTCGACTTTTCGCCACTCGCGGAGTATTTTGCGATTATCTCTAAAATTGTTCATTCAATTACGTATGATTCATATGTCGAAAGATAGAACGAAACACGCTCTACAAAAGAGTATATTCAGTGTTTCGAAAGCAACTGATTATGGGACGTGAGACTCATTGAAACTTAACTATTTATCAGTTTTTTTTGCGACTTTTTTAGGATAGCCTTTTTACATGTTGATGAGTGTTTTGCACCAAAAATGAACGGGAACAAAATACACGTTATAGATCTAGATAGATCAAAACAAGAACTATACAAAGCGTATAAAATATTGGAAATTCGAGTACTAACAGGTACTATTTTCGAAGCCACAAGGTTTAAAAAGAACGCTCACATGTCATTTTTCGAGCATTTACATTTTGTTTCTCTGATCCATTTCTCGGAGCACAATTTTTCAAACATCAAATGTAATATCATATTCGTGATCAGCGATGTATACTATATCATTTGTGTCCATCATATTGGAATGTGGGTGTGGGTATTCCATTTCCCATTACAAACATCAAAACCCATATCCACTAACTGTTTTTCCAATCACCACCGACGAGTTTCTAGAAACGTGAGATCGAAAGATTGCTAGAAAGATGAACGAATATTATCGAAAATCATGACGATCATACTATTGATTGATGCTACATATCCTTGTCGTAAAGTAAATTTCATCTTAAAAAAGAAAATTTGCAGAATTTATTTTTCCAATCCAATATATTATATATATTTATTTAATAAATTAATTTATTTCACAGATTCCTACATATTACACATAATCATTTTCATTTCTATATAGATATAATTTTCTTACAACAATACAAGACAATTCTCCCTTATTTTATTCTATTTTAGTTTAACTTAATATTTTATCTTTTTGTTATTTAAAATATTAGCGGATAACTTATTCTTGCATAAGGAAAATATTGTTGTAAAGAATTGAAACATATTGGTTCACCATTTAATTCTAATTCATTTATTTTGACAGAATTAATTCGTGTAGTATCTCTTGTGAAATTGTGTGTTACTTGTTGTAAAGATTCATATTTAATACGAAGAAGAACATTATTTTGGAAATATGTTTTAGTATTAAAGACAAATTTTTCTATATAGTCATCATGAACATTGCAAAGATCAAGTTCACTAAGAAAAGAATATTCAATGAGAAATAGGCTTCGATTATCATTGTTTGATTCATAAGAGTGTTTACGATTTTGGGATTTACGATTAATCACAGCTGATTCTTCCATAAATGGAAATGATTGAACAATATTGTTCATATTTTCCATTTTTTCGAATTTACTTTAACAAATGTGTTTGAGTTAAAAGATATTTATAAAATTGTTCACACGAATAATTATGATAAGATTTAATTTCGCTAAAAAAGCTGTGATATGATTTAGAAACGTTCAGAATTCAGGAGAAAAGCAGGGAAAATTATCAAAAACAGGAAAAATCAGACGAGAGTACTAAAATCAGAAAAAAATCAGACTGTCAGAAGGAAATCAGAAAGGCATCCAAATTTCAGACACTGTCCTGACTTTTCAGACAATCTGGCAACCCTGGTCCTCAAACTCCTGGAACTAACATAAGAATGAGATCCGAAGGTCAAAATTCCATTGACAATCATACACGTATTATTCAGGTAGAAAATTCATCGATTAAATATAAAGACTTTAATCATCGAGAATCAACAAAGCAACAAAATGATTATCCATCAATCATTGTTGATTTTAAAACTTCTCATAATAAAACGGACAGAAAATTAAATAGAAGAATTAATTACAGAATGAAAAATAAAAAAACAACAGAGAAATTAATATAATTGGTAGATTTGGATATAAAAAGTTACTTTTGGTCTTTGCTCCAGATAGCTCAACTCTCGATGATCTACTTAATCAAAAACTATGGCCAAACAAAATCGGCAACGATGACAATACTGTTAACTATCCGAAAATATTACCTGAGATGTACTCTCTAGTCATTCTAGATTTTCAATTAACTTGGAAAGAAGATGAAACTTTAAAAGATTTACAAGAAAAATATTCTACACGATGATTAAATTAATACGACTTGGTAGTCGAAATGGGAAATCATTGAATATTGTACGAGTCGATTTTAGGTCCTCTGAAACTGTTAAACAATTTTGAAAGCAAGATGAAATTGATATAAATTTCATGAAACTTCGTGTTCGATCATATTTTTCAACAGTTAAAATTAATAAATGTGGAAAATGTTTTAAAAATGACCATCTCACAAGCCAATGTGATAGCCCTCAATTATGCTTTAAATGCGGCCAACAACATGCATTTGAAGGCGAGTGTAATAATAAAATAAGATGTGTAAACTGCCAACAGTACCATTATTCAGGACACTCTTCATGTCCAGTTGTTCAACAGAAGAGAAAACAAATTTCCCAACAACAAAAGCTCTGTTATGCTGAGATGTTGATAAACCAACATCGACAACAAAATATTTACAAAAATAATCCGTCTTTTTTCCACCGCTACTTTCTGATGTAAATAACTCACAATCTAATACGCTACTCAATCAAGTAAATACTATTTACCAACAGTACAATCGATCTTCATACACATCAGTAGTAGCAACGAAAACTTCGAACAAACACGAAAATATCGAACAAATGACGGTGGCCATGACAGAATCAATTAATCAACAGCTATCGAATTTTTCAACAACAATAACATCTCTCAACTATCTGAGTTAACAAACAAAAGTAACATCTATAATGATCAAGTACAAGCCATTGAACAACAGATCGAAAAGGTCATCATTTCAGCAATAAGTGAGATTTCTAAAATTATAGACAATTTTTTGGAAAACAAGGAACAAATTTCAATACCAAAAACACATCAACATTGCCGAATAACATCTTGCCCAGAAATAATACAATCCCTTATTCAAAAGCAACAATCATCAATTCCGCAAACACCTTAATACAAACGACAACAACCAACAACAGATTTGATACAAATTCAATGCAATCATAATAATAATACACAATAAAATGAGACAATTTAACATTTACAAATATAATGAATTAATTCAAGTCTACAATAATATGGCTACACCAATAGATGAAAAATTTTTTGAAACAGTTATCAAATTATCGAGGAGTGATGTTGGACAGGTTCAAAAACTGAATTACTTAAAAAATGGGAATAGCAATATCAACAATCATATTCAACTAATTTTAATCTCGCTTTACTTCATTATAATATACGAAGTTTTCACAAGAATCAATATGATCTTATCGATATGGTAAAGAAATACACACTTGCTATAATATTCATAAATGAATTAGACAAGGAAATACTCACACAAGTGTTTGCTAAAATTTTGTTTTCGAATGAGGGTGTGGGTGTGGGTTTTGATGCTTGTAATGAGAAATGGAATACCCACACTCGCACACCCACACCACCCTCAGCCCTAAACAAAATACATGTGATGTTCAGAATCAGCCTCAAAAACTGAGCAGAATGACATATGTTTTGTTAAAAAATATTTTTCGTCAAAATTACACCCGTAGTCCTCTCCAACGATTTTTTTTCAAAAAATTCATCTGTGGGTTCTCGGGGTGTAATTTTGACGAAAAATATTTTTTAACAAAACACATGTTATTCTACTCAGTTTTTGATGCTGATTCTGAATATCACATGTATTTTGTTTAAAAATGAAGTGTTGATAATTAAAATAGTCAAATACAAGAAAGATTTGTATACAATATGGTGACATTTAAGAATGTTTAAGTATAAAGTGGGACTTCGGACAAAAAATTTTAGAATCGTGATGACATCAAAAAAAAGCTCAATATATAAGTACGTTTTTGAAAAAGTTCCAGCGATGGATTATTTTTTGTTTTTGAGATAATGCCATCTCAACATTACCTATATTTTCAACGCATACATTTTTGGATGCCATTGTTCGAAGTTTTTTTGAACATTAGAAATTTTGAAACAAACAAATATTATGCAGAACGATGGAGTTTTTAATGCTAATTTTGAATGTATAATTAGAATTTTCAAAATGCTTTTTTATAACAGAGAAAACGGGCACTTCACGGGTCAAAATATGTCCATATGTTTCATTATTACCTGGTCATAAAGATGATGGTCTATCTCCACAAGTAAAAATTCTTTTGAAAAAAAAACTGAAGTGAAGAAAGGTTCAAGGTACACAATAATAATATCGAAATAGCATCTTGAGGAGGTGGTAGATTTCCACTCTTACCTTGTGGGATCCTTTTTCTAGAAAATTTTTCTGTTTTTTCCGCTAGTTATGTAGCTCGAAGCGTTCTCTTCAAAGTGAAATTAAAGCAACTTCCAAGTTTTGCTTCCTCGAGGTGCTAGAGACTTTTTAAGCGAGTGAGTACACGTAAGACTAGCGAAAAAGAATGTTTGTTTTTTTAAATTTTTCTGGAAAATTCGCAACTTTTCTCGTAGTTGTGTCCATTAAAATTAGCCTGGAAAAGTGCTTTATTAAATCACCCCTACTCTTGTATAGAGTTGTACCCGCACGATCCTCTATTGAATGGTGAAAACCACAGGTCACTATGACTTTGCTTTCGAAAATTATAAGCTTTTTTCCACACACTTTCTTTTAAAATTCCGATTGTAGCTGTGGTAAACATTTGAACCTGGTACATTGTACTCTCGTATAGCACCAGAACTAATTCAAAAGAGAGGCGGGATACTCTTAATATTATATATAATCGTTTTAACAAATTTACTCTTTGTTAGTACTATGTATTGGTTATCTAATTAATAAAAAACATAAATAGTTTTCATTAGATCTAGATCAAGAAATATTTATTTTATTAAATTGTTGTTCATACAACAAATGAATCATTTGAACAATTGATATTATCATTGTGAACAGTGATTTTGAAGTTTTAATGTTTGATATATTGTTATATCGTTCTATTTTTTTCAAATTTACGTAACATATTTTAAAGAATGATTTGTTTTCCAGTCTTGAGAAACAACAATACATAAAACATATCATACAACAATCGATATTTTAGTTTACAAAACAAAAGCAACAGCTATAATAATATTAACAGTGTCTATTTTGTCTACAATCATAACGACAATATCTACAGCTGCAAGCTAATATGAGCTAAATCCTGGTAGCTTTCCATTAATCAGACAAAAGAAAGGCTGTTTATCGATAGACTTTATATATAGACCTTCTTAATTCCACACTTAAGTATTGTAGCAGTATTGACTCAAACTGCCATTCTTTGTTATTATCAGAGTCAATGTGTTCTTCTAAGCGACCCTTTGATAGATGCTCTTGCATCATGATGAGACATTTCCAAACTTCTATTCCAGATAAGTAATATTCTAGTTGACCTTAAAGAAAAAAAATACCAAAAATAAAAATCAGATAAACATTTTTTTTTCTTCGACTTTAGAAATAGACTAATTAACAATCTAAACAAGATTCTATTTTACCCAGTTTCTTGTTTTATTTGTTTTTTCTTATCATGAAAAGTATCATCTGACATTTGAAGGTCCCTAGCTGTTAGAAATAGTTGTGTATGTAGCCATACATCCATCCAATAAGTCAATGAGTCGATAGTAGTGTTTTTTTTTGAATATCCCACCAAATGACACGCTGAAAGATTTTTAAAAAAGCATTTTTTTTTTTAATATTATTAAATATATTCAATAAATTTAATAGCTATTATAACTACAACAACGACTACATTATATATTTTAATGTTGACGTTATGTATCCAGAAAAAAAATAAAATATAATAATAATGTACACAACCCGATCAAAGTTGCAACATTATTTATAAGTTTTAATTTTTTTTATAACCGTTCATCTTTATAGGATGATTAATCTATTTGTAAAAAATAAACTCACATTTACAAAAACAAACTTTAAATAAAAATCCGAAATACAGGTTGAATTTGATTTTGAAATCGATCAATTAACAATATACGTTTTTGTTTAAAACATATTGTATTATATGTGTGTGTGAGTGTATCTTTTGGGTGTATGATTGTGTATGTGTATATGTGTGTATGTGTGCGCTTCTTTAGCACAATTTTTGAGAAAAAAATGCTAAAAAACACAAAGAAGAAAACTGACTATACAAATCAAGTTTTTTTGAGAAGGCCAAGTTCTTTTATTGCTGCATATTGTGAAGGTATTTCCATAAGAGCACGAAGTGCAAATACGGAATCATTATTTGTTGATGCTTCAACAACACTATTATAATTAACAAATTGAAAATTATCGAATTGTCGTGTTGGTA